TTAGGCCCGAAGACTGGGTGTACATTCTTCGTTCGTGGAAGCCACTGCAGAAAATGGATTAGTACACAAATGTATACATTTTCGCGCATTTTTGCCATTTTGATTTGTACCCGGCCGACCCATGTAAAAATGACAAGAGTCTTTACAACTGCAGCCATAGACATCCGCACCACGTAGGTTTTCCTAGTGACATTTTCATCAACACACTTGATATGTACTGTAGAATGCTAAGTCGATGAGAGGTCGATGTTGGATCGATGTTAGGTCGATGTGGGGTCGATAAGGCCCGTTCAGGCCCGAACTACTACGTATACATTTTGTTAGAATTTCAAAATCATGTCGGGTACAATTTTGTGCGATGAGCAGATGAGCACATGTTCATAACTGCTCAGGAGCACATGCTCATCTGCTCATAAAACTGCAATACTGCTCAATTAATAACAAGGCATTTCTCCACAGTCAGTGCTAACGGAACGAGCTGCCAATTTTGCGGAAAGTAATTTAACCGTGGTTGCAATCTACGAAGACACGAAAAGGAATACTGTTCCCTACGCGAACAAGAAAGAAACATGTCTCAAACAGACTCGGACAGCCAGGAAAGGGATTTCCAAGACGATGTCTCCACAACTTCAACTCATGTGTCTGACAGTTCGACTGATAATGAAACTGAAGAAGAAATGGACCCTTGGATACCATTGACAGAAGAAGCAAGGCAAAGAAGTAATATAGCTTTTAAGGAGATGAAAGAAAGCCTTATTAACAGTGGGCTAGATAAGCAATCCGCTAAAGACAAAGTTTACTCTAATATTCTGCCAGAAGGAACTGGAAAATATTTATATGGAGCGTCTCGTGTGAATGAGATAACTAAAGAAAGATCCAGTACATAAGAAAATAATGCACACAAAAGATGAGCTTGTGAAAAACGATGATTTTGATCCAGAAGAAGCCATGGAAGCAGCTGTTCATAAGAGAAAGTTTCTTATAAGAAGGGTTTTAAAGTGTTACAATTTTGATGAAGAGAATGATGATGATGAAGAGAATGATGGTGATTAAACTCGATTAACAGGATTGAAGTCATGTATTCGAACAGTAATAGCGTGTAAAAACATACCAGTAATAAAACACAGCATGTAAACTTCGTGTCATTCAATAAATTGATTTTTCTGTCTTTTCTTGTCATTTTTTACATGTGTCGGCCGGGTACAAATCAAAATGGCAAAAATGCGCGAAAAAGTAAACATTTGTGTACTAATCAATGTTCTGCAGGGGCTTCCACAAACGAAGAATGTACACCCAGTCTTTGGGCCTAAACGGGCCTTATGAGCAGATGAGCAGGTGCTCATGAGCAGTTATGAGCATGTGCTCATACGGTCGTTGCACAAAATTGTACCCGACATGATTTTGAAAATCTAACAAAATCTATACGTAGCAGTTCGGGTTTAAACAGGCCTTATGACAGGGGGTTCCCTCGGGAAACGTCAATTAGTGTCCGTTAACGTTAATTTATGTATGCATCCAAGCAAAGCAGCATATTTTGCTATAAAAACGGCACGATTTGTTAAACACCCTTTATCCTTCTTTTGATAACGGAAGTAGAGGAATGGATAATGCACGGCTCAGAAGCAATAAACCATGCAATTGAAAATCAAACAGTCGAAAAACAAGGGGAGGGGGGTGGTTAAACTACTCACATGGTCTGCCTTCTATATCTATTATGCGTTATGGCTAACTCTGAATTAGATAAAATTTCTTTGTGGTTCAGAGCTAATAAACTTTCTCTGAATATTGACAAGACCAATTTCTCCCGAGCCAACGGCGCGGAGCCCGGGGCGAGGGTACTAATTCCGTCCGGCTGTTTACACCCGGGAAAAGGAACGCACTAGCGAAGTCTAAAATTCATCAAATATCGCGGGCGCATGGTGTATGGGTGGTCATCTCACTGATCTCAAAATATGGCTGTTTGCCAGGAGTGAAGAAGGGGAAAATATAAAAAATACACGTAAGAGAGCTTGGAAAATCGTTTCTCATAACAAATTGTAAAACATTTTTCAATTTTTAAACGTAAACATTAATAAGAATTGATTTAGCATGAGAAATCCTAAAGTATAGGGCAAGTTTGTTTCAATTGTTTATGTATGACTTTGACTTTGTATTTAATATTATAGATTTTGTTCATAGGTAGCCCAACAATCCGCACGTCGTGACGTATCATTCAGTAGTATACTGAATGATACGTCACGACGTGCGGATTGTTGGGATACCTATGCTTTGTTCTTGTTGTTTACATCTTTCCTATGCATTGTATGCGAAAGTTTCTTTATAGTTAAATTAACGTTTGTAGAAGTTGATGATAAAAAGGAAAGCAAATTATTTTCATTAGCGTCCTGTACGCAGGCCGCCGAGAGCTTGGCGGGGGCCCGGGCCTAATTTTTCTTAGGGGGCCCCTATTCAAAAAAATTTTCCGGACGAGTACGTTGTAAATGCTTTTGTGAGAATTTCCTGCAAATTTTTCATACCAAATTTCGGTTCTTTGCCCAAAAAACACAAATATTTCGACCCAAGAACGGAAATATTTCGCGCAAAAAAATGACTAGGGCCCAACAAAAAATTTCTAGGGACCCCCAGAACCTCGGTGCCCGGGGCAATTCCCCCCCCACCCCCTCTCGGCGGCCCTGCCTGTACGAATTAAATTTATTTCATTTCAAAGTGCGAGTAATAAGTTGAAGCTCAAGTTGAAGAGTTTATCATATTGGCAAAAAGCAGTTGATTTCAATTCACATTTAAAAACGTTTTACGTAGAGTTTCGTTTTGAATTTTGCATTAAAGTAAATTAAAGCTCATGGAAAACAAAATAATATACCTACTTTATATATTTTAGAAATTGATAGTTCTTTATTTAAAAGTGTTCATGTTTCATCTATTGTTTGCAGGTTTGTACAAAAAATCAAAAATTAAAAAAAAAAACAATTATCGTGTTGCCACGACTAACATGACGTGAGCAACGCGAGCCTGCGTTCAGTGTTGGCGTAATTACTAATACTTCATGTTGAAACAATGTTTGGAGAATGTAGGCGAGGGGTTGTTGCATGCATGTATTTCTAGCATGGTTTTTAAAACACCTCAAAACAAAAACGTGCGTATTGATCCACCTAATATTGAAAGTACTCATATTGAAGAGGTAACCCAGATTTCATTCTTGGGAGTAGTTTTTGATCAACATTTATCTTGGAAACCTCATATTAGCTATCTGGCAACTAAAATTGCTAAATTAGCTGGTATCATTATATAAATGTAGGTTTTATTTGCCAAAAAGATCATTGCTACAACTTTACTATGCATTGGTTTATCCATATACTTGCATTATTGTAATATAGTATGGGGATTACATACAACGTATGTAACAAATTTAAATAGGTTGATCCTTTTACAAAAGTGAAAAGAAAGTTGTTCGTATATATACAATTGATACAGCCATTTTCGTCCAAGCACAAACCGCAAACATTTTCGCGCGTTTGTTTACGTTTGAAACGGGGCGTTTACCGTTGGAAACTGAATGTTTCACCGCTCATGTGACGTGTCACATTGAAAAGCCTTAAGCTATTTTTGGCGCAACTATCATGTTTTGATGTGCACGTTTCAATATTTCCAAGCCCATGATAATACGTTTTAGTCACAAAAAGTATGAATATAAACAAGTTTGGTCGCTCTTACAATATCGCGAGCTTGGAAATACTGAAAAGTACACGAAAGCACATCAAAACATGAAAAATAACTGAATTAGGCTTTTCACTATAACACGTCGCATGAGCAGTGAAACATGTCTGTTTCCAACGGTAAACGCCACGTTTCAAACGTAAACAAACGCGCGAAAATGTTTGCGGTTTGTGCTTGGACGAAAATTGCTGTAATGCCGATCGTCTTGCTTTTTCTCAGCCAATATTTAAGAAATTAGGACTTCTCACGTTAGTTGATATTAACTTGTTTCAAAAAGGTGTATTTATGCATTGTTATTGTAATCATCTTCTTCCTCGAAGCTATAATAATGTTTTTGTTTCTGGTTTTTAAAACAATTCATGAATATGAAACAAGAACTGCTCAAAATTTACGGCCACATCAATGTTGTACAACTTTAAAATCGCATACGATTTAACTTATCAGGGTCCTGTTTATTGGAATTCTTTGAATGACAATATAAAAAATCTAGCTAATCTTTCATCGTTTAAATCACAATACTATTAAAAGTGTCGTTACTAAAAAAATACTCAATTTAAAATGTAATTTATTAAACTTATTGCCGTCATAACTTTCTATATCATGACAAGAACTAAATAATTTATCATAATGTTTTGTAAATAATTTTAGTATGTACTATTTATGAGCTCAACATGGCGCGATATAAGGGAGCCTAAACGTTATAAGCCCTAGGCTTCAGTATTCTTAGGCTTCCTTGTCACAAATTCATGCCCATGCACTTATATACAATGTACATAATTAATGATATGATTGTGACAAACCTAATAAAAACTATTATTGTTATTGTTAGTATTATTATTTCTATGAATTGCACGTTTAATTTAAAGGCACGAGGCGGAACAGTTTCGTGTTTCTATACATGCAGTAACATGCTTCTCGCCCAATGAACGCTCGCGCACTATAAATGACATATTAGCTTCGTTTGCCATTTTGTCATCTCCCATGCATGACGTATAATTTCACTCCAGTGTTCACGGTGATAAGTTATTAATGCAATAATGCACAAGGGATTGAATGTCAATTGCCTGAATTGGGACTTTTATCCTATTTTCATTCCCTGCCACAAACTGTAACTACTGTCTGTAATATGTTCCGTATGTAATCTGTGGTAAATCTATTAAATGCACGCGAGGAACGGTTTCTTGTTTACTTTAAATTTGTTTAATTTTCCTCTGTTTTCAAAATTATGTCACTGTCTTATACCTGTTTGGTTCTCAGATTGTCTATTGCCTTGTCCCTTCATTGTCCTATTTATCTAAGATGCCTATTTGGTTTTTTCTCCCACATCGTTTAAAACTCGAAAACAACTTTTTATCTAAAGCTCCATAAATGAATGGGTTAACTGCTGATACTCCAAAGAAGTACATGACATTAAACCAATCATAATAGGCACCATTCAGATCGACCACACCAAAAACGTAAAGGATGAACGCTATCTGCTGAGGAGATCCAGCTACCAAAAAACACACAAAGATAAGAAAACTTATTACAAAGGTTCGAGTGTTTCTATGATGAGCCAGTCTTTGAAACAGCCAACGTTCTGTTTTCTCTCCAACGGTTGCAATGTTTGCATTCATGGATTTTATCTTTTCACTCTGTTTGATAAGTCCCCTGCTAATTTTCCAATATATCATTCCTAGAACCACAACTGGGATAAAGAAATGAACTGAAGAAAGAAAGACTGTGTAAGTATTGCACAACGTTTCGGATGGCCATGCTTCGAAGCATTTATCAGGCGGTATAAAATCCAAGACAAACACGACTGGAATTTGACATAGAACACCAAATATGTATACTGCAGCGGCAGCTAAGTGTAATTTCCAACGACTTACGGCAGGTCGTAATGGGCAAAAAACAACGCGATAACGAAGTAGTGACATGAAAACCATAAAAAGTACTCCAGCTGTGAAAAATGTTCCATGAAGAAACGTCAGCTTACAATGTGTAGGCGAAGTTATCCAGAATTTTCCTGTGAAAATTGTGTAGCTGTATGCAATGGGAAGGTACATATTCAACAGATCACAGATTGCAAGATGTAATACGAGGTAGTAATGGTTGGTTTTCAGCAAGGCCTTTTGACGACATATAGAGAAGATTGACAATATATTTCCAAGAGAACCCAATACGCTAACTGAAATGAAGGCGTATCCAAGGTAGGAGGATGCTGAATGTGAAGTTGGTCCTGTTCTGTTGCCCAATGTTGTGTTCATGATGAAACCAAATAGGAAAAAAAGATAGTTTTTACACAGAACTGGCGGTGAACAAAGAATGCGAGGAAAACAATATGATGTAGCTTGTAGATAAACGTGCACTATTTAAAGATATTTGGAATTAAAATACTCAGTAATAATTGATAAACCTTGTGTCAAATCATGTCAACCATAATATGTCATGTGGAGTGACTTATATCTGATAAAATTGACATGTGGCATTATATAATTATTCATTCTAATTAGTATTCTTAAATAAAGAATACCAATGAGACGGCATCTTTTGTATAGTCGTATTTTAAGCTATTCAAAACACTCGCTGTCGTGTTTTATCAGATATAAAATGCTAGGCTTTGTTAAAGTGCCAATCTATTTACATAAATAAATCAAATGACAAAAGTGAGCCGAGAAAACACCTGTTTTCACAACAACCGTTTGACATTCTGTCAATTTGTTTTCGACTTATATAGCATGCCAATAATACGTCTTTGTTAAAAGTCGACACTCTTTAATTTTAATTATCAGGATAAAAATTCCAGTTCATTCTGATTTTATCAGGATAAGAATTTCAGTTCGTTTTCAACAAAACACAGTAAAACATTTTTATTTTCTGGAAGCTTCGTGTGCCTCCTATAATTATTATACTGTCTTAAAAGCACTCAAAACTGCCCACGTCCACCTGCGTCTAAATCGTCAAATGTTCACTTGAAATAACTAACTATACCGCCTAATTTTTAGCGAGTGACCGAGTGAAAATGGCTCTGGGGACGAGAATGACTATACCGAGGCTCTATACCAATTGTCATCGTTACCGGTGCATGAAATTACCGCCCACTGGATCTCGACAAATACTCCTAGCTTACCTTCGACTAAAATACATTTCATGAGATATTAATATGTTTAAGTCAACAACAGACAGAGCCGGCGGTAGACCTCCTTCAATGGGGGGGGGGGGGGGGGGGGGG